CCTTTACATTTCTTAATGGTATGGATGTTGCATAATGCTTTCATTTGATTGCCAGGATAATTCAGCCATGCTGTCATACCCAATTTATAGATGAGGAAACAAGTGGTTTTTAGGTATTTCAAGAGGCGAAGCATTTGCTCTGTAGCTTGTATGGCAGAGCCAGGAAAAGAAAGCAAGCCTTCCAGCTGCTGAGAGATGCAGTGCTTTTTCTACCATACCTCACTGTCTCTTGGGCTGAAGTCAAAAGAGAGTGTGGTTATCACATGAAGAAATCTGGTTTGCCTTTGCCAAATATGCATTTGTAGTGTTTGGTGATTTACTTTTATTTAACTTATAATTGCTTTTGGTTGAACAGTCTGGCCCCATAAAAAATTTTTTTTACTTTTTAAATGCTAAATTATAGAACTGTGCTATCCAGTATGGTAGCTATTAATCACTTGTAACTATTTAAACGTAAATTTTAATTAATTGAAATTAAATAAAATATAGGATTCAGTTCTTCAGTCACATTTCGTACATTTCAAGAACGTTTCATAAGTTTGATAATCACATGTGGCTAGTGGCTAGGGTAGATTACAGAACCTTTCCATCATCTCAAAAAGTTCTATTGGACACTGATAGTATATAGTGTCATCTCCAGAGATAAAAGACTTTGGAAAAAGTCAACATCTTCAGGCAGGCACAGTGCTGCCATCTGTCCAATATTAAAGGTATTTTAGGAAAAAATAAAAATAAAAAAGACTAGAACAAAGAGGAGTAAAAGAGAGATACCCTTAGTCACAGATAGATCCACCCAGAAGAAAGCAAAGGCATTTATTCATAATGTAGCCATTATTTGCATTGAGACCTTGAAATCTTTAAGAGATTAAAATAAATGGATACCTAGAGAATCTAAACCTCTGGAAAGGATCTGAAGCAGATGTGGAAAAAACAGGATAAAAAATCACTTAGTTACAAAGTAAGTTTAAATTAGTAACAAATCAAGTTTCACGATTCATTTAAACCATGCTATTTACTCTCCTACTTAGTAGTTATTTTTCTTTTGCTCTCTATGGTATGATACAGTTTGTATCTTTAAAGAAGCATTAAAATACTTCTGGGGACTTTTTAGATAAGTTCACACAGCTATATAAACATCACAAAAACAGGTAAAAATATCTTCTCATTTATTTATGAATCCATTCAAACTTATTATATAATAATTCAAGAGTTCACAGTGATACACAAAAGAGCATAAGCAAAGCAAAACAAAACTCATGTGTCAACGGTGGACGTGGCTATTTCACCGAATCCTTACTTTGAAAATTGATAATTTAAAAAGAGAGAAATAAACATATTTTCTTCTATATTCTGCTAATATAGAAGGAACTATACTCCAAGATAGCCCAATAGTGAGGGAAATGCCCAGTCTTTAGAAAAATGCTAGCTGAAGCATGTAGATGGAACTGAAGAATCCAAAAATCATTTGAAACCCCTAACGAAATAATCCGTTCAAGCCAGGATCACTAATGGATGCTAAAACAACTGAAGAAAGGTTGACAGGAACTGAATATTCACATGGTACAAAGCTCACCCCACAGGCTACTGACCAGTTCCAAGGGAGAAAATACTGGAAGACAGAGGCAATCACCACAACAGCCCTATAATCCTCTCAGCATCATGAACAATGGGTCACCCAGAGATTGTTCTCTAACATGATACAACATGAATATACACCATCGCCTGTGAAATAGTCTTGCAAAAATAAAAAATAAATAAGTTGAGCCTGAATCTGATTAAGCCTCTAGAACTAATTCCTAGTACATACATATATACACAGAAAATTCAGCGAAAAGTTAAATGACACCATAAAAAGAAAATCAGAAAATTTCAGAAAGGCAAGTAGAGGGGGAGCATTCATTCTATAGGACAGCCAATCAACCTAATCTCTTCAACAAGTCGATTTCATTAACAAAAAATAAAAATAAAAAGGAGATTTTCTAGGTTAAAGGAGACATAAAACAACCAAATCCAATGTGTGTTCCTTGATCAGAAGAAACTGGTTTGAAAAAACAGCTATAAAAGACATTTCAGAATAACTGAGGAAATCTGAATGTGGACTGGGTAATAGATGGTATGAAGAAATCCTTTTTTATTTTGTTTGAGATGATAATGATATAACTATCAAGAAAGTTGTTCTTAGTTTTTAGAGATCCATACTGAATTTAGGGATAAAATGTCACTTTTAATATACTTCAAAATACTTTAGCACTCAAAGAGGAAACAAATACAGAAAAAAATGTGAAGTCTAGAGTACGGGCACATGGATGCCATTTATCTATTCTCTCCACTTTTTTGGAAGTTTGAAATTTTCATAATTTTACAATAAAATTTTTTTTGCCCAAATTGTACAGGTATATATCTGAGAATCTATTTCAAACTCTATGACATATTAGAACATAAGTAGTGCAGTTCATCGTTTTGGAAATTCCAAACTTCTGTTCTCCTCCAGCAATTATATAATCAAAGAGCAGCTATAGTTTTCTTATATTAAACTGCTTAGTAAAATCAACTTTTTCTATCACAACACAACCAAGATTTTTCAGATATAGAGACGCGGCCCACCCAGATTCAAGTCAGTTTGAAGAGAATAATTCTATTTTTCTCCCATTTTTCTAGCCTGTTTATGAATATCCAATGGGAAGTCAAAAGAGGCAAAGTTTTTGGAATAAGGCAGTTTCTCACTCCTGAGTATAACTCCACAGGTTAAGTGAGAAGAAAAGTGCATTCCTATCAATTTACCATCATTCAAGACCAATTTTGCTCATGGTAAACCACCTCTCTCCTGAAGCCAGCCTTCTGATTATCCATGTGCTTTAGCAAAAGCCCTCAAGAAGGCAAATAAAATGAGGAAAAGATTGGTTAAAATTGGCTGCCTGAAACTTTGGTAGATGTTGACCATTCCCTTCACCCATACCCACCCATTTTAGAAATAATACTTTCAGATTATTTAAGAGATGGTGCCTCCCTGTGGATTGTAACTTGTCATTCTGTCTCTTGCAACAACTGTGAGGTAAAGCGTGATTCTACTTTAACCATTTGTTAACATATGCTATTTCCCAAAATAAAGTCCACCCTTAAAGTTAATAAAATGTGTTTATCAAAGAAGATCCACTGAAGTAAGAAGTTGATGGTAACGGGTGCCAAGAAATAAGAAAACATAATAATACCTTGACCATGCAAATCGACAACTGGAGCTTCAAAAATATCCTCACCCACAAAAAAATAAGTGGATGTTTCTCTCACTCCCTGGAAAAACTGGCCCAGGAAGGAGTACGAGAGCTGCCATAGCCTCCCAAGGCCCATTATTCTCCATCAGTCCATGGGAACAGTTTTGTCAGACAAGAGTAAAAGACCATTTGTCAACCCCTCTCCAACTCCCCAATTCAAGCCAGTTTTTTATCAATCTCAAATAAGGAGCCAGAGAGAAACACAAGTCTTGTATCTCCAGCAGCATTATCTGCAGGGGTTGGAAATCACAGCTCCACCACCACCAAAGTCAGCCCTCGGCTCTTTTTTCCCAACTGCTTTTGGGTTATTTTATTTGGGGAAAAAAAAAATCCACTTTCCCCATCCCTAAAACACTGAGATAGGGGAATCAGAATACACAATCATAGAGCATGGACAACCCTAAAGATTAAAAAAAAAAAAAAAAAAAAAGGAAGGAAGGGAGAAAATTAAAAGGAGGGGATTGGGAAGGAGAAAGGGAATCCGTATGCCAGACAGTTGTTCAGTTCACTTTTTTTAAATGTTCACACTCATTTACACATATGCAGAGATTTTGCTTAAATGTGCTCCGTGTGTGGATCTGACTGTCCGCACAAGGCTGAAATGACTCTTTTAGACGCTTCCCACCAAGACCACTGAGGTGAGGTGTCCTGCTTGCAGAAGTCCTTGAGAGGCTGGGGGATTTGGGAAGGAGGGCCCTGGGGTACAGGGTGATGCCAGAAGGGGTTTCTAGTTGTAGGACAGAAAGAAAAGAGGTATAAAGAGGAAAAACCCAAAGTCTGCCGAGGTCATGGGAGAAGAGAGAGGAAAAGAGGATGAAAAGTGAAAGGGAGAAGAGGCACAAAATGCTGTCAACCACCAGCCTCCTGCAGAGAAGTTAGGAATTGCTTTAAGAAAGGCATGGCAAGGGGGATCCCTGGGTGGCTCAGCGGTTTAGCACCTGCCTTTGGCCCAGGGCGCGATCCTGGGGTCCTGGGATCCTGGTATCCTGGGATCAGAGTCCCACATCAGGCTCCCAGCATGGAGCCTGCTTCTCCCTCTGCCTGTGTCTCTGCCCACCCCCCTCTCTCTATGTCTATCATGAATAAATAAAATCTTAAAAAAAAAAAAAGAGGAAAGGCATGGCAAGTCTCATTCCAGATCATGGAGGGATAACCCCTCCAGGGCCCCCACAAGGAGACCCCAGGCTGTGTGGCATCAGATTGATCTCCACCCCACCCCTACCTGAATCAAATTAATAGTAAAGTAACTCCACTGGGTTAAGGAATCACCTTATATTAAAAATCTTTAGGGGCCACTTTGCCAAACGTGCCAAGGATCAACACCGGAGACTGTGTGTGTGTGTGTGTGTGTGTGTGTGCGTGTGTGTGTGTACAGGGTGCGATGCACGCCGGTGTTGGAGACGACACTACCGTTGAATCTGGCCAAGCCCAAATCTAGGGGGGAAGAAGAGGAGTACAAGTAGGACACGGGGAAAAAGAAGGAAGGGGGGACCCACGATGTTGGTAGCCTAGGAAAGAAGGGTGGGGGGCAGTGAACGGCGTCGGAACAGATGGTCCTGAGGGCTGGGGAAGAGAAGGCCCGGAAGGAAGGCGGGCAGGTGCGGCCGGGGAGCTGGGGAGAGCTGGGGAGAGCTGGGGAGAGCTCGGGGCGCTGGGGCGGGCTCCCTGGAGGGGGCGGCCCCCGGGGGCGGCAGGCCCGAGGCGCCCGGGCGGGGGGCGGCGGGCACTCACCCCGTTGGCCGCGGCCATCTGCACCACGATCTCGGTGGCCGTCCTGCTGAAGTACCTGCCGTCGCTGCCCACCACCATGGTGCAGCCCTGGCGGTCGCGCAGGTCGATGGACGACAGCACGCTCTGGATGAAGTTGGGCAGGTAGTTGCGCTGGCCCTCGAAGAGCCCGGTGGGCCGCCGCAGCCCCCCGCCGCCGGCCGGCCGCTGGTCCTCGTAGGGCACCGTGGGCACCGTCAGCACCGGGATGGGGCTCCCCTCCATGGCGCCTGCTGGCCGGTCCTGCGCGGCTCCCGCGAGCCCGAGGGGATCCGCAGCCCGCCGGGCCCCCTCCCCGCCCCCCGGCCGGCCCGGCCCCGCCCCGCCCCGCCCCGCCCCGCCCCGCGCCGCGCCCCGGCCCCCTCCGCCCTGCGCCCTCCCCGCCCCGCCGGAGTCCGGCCTCTACCTTCCCAGAAAGTTAGCTCCGCCCGAGTCCCTCCGCCGCGCGAGCGCCCGAGGCGCCGGCAGTCCCGTGCCCCAGCTGGGCTCCCTCTCGGGGTGTGCCCCGAACCCCGCTCCCGCGGCCGGGAGCCCGACCCCGGCGACCCCGGCGACCCCCGCCGCGCGCGCCCGGCCCGAGCCTCCCCGCACCCGCGGCGCCCCGAGCGCACCCTCGGCTCCGACTCAGACCCCCGAGCCCCCCGGGCCTCCCGCCGCAGCCCCGGCTCCCCGCTCCCCGCTCCCTGCTCCCCGCAAGCGAGCGCTTTACGAGCCCAAGTTTCTCTTTTGAAGGAGGAGGAGGAGGAGGAGGAGGGAGGGAGGTGGGACGGGGTGAGCCCTCGGCCGCCGGCGCACAGCCCCGGCCAAAAATAACCCTGGAAAGGCGAACTGCGAACCGTCCTCCCCCGCCAGCCGCCAGCGCTGAAACCCGAGGCCGAGCGTCGCCTGCGTGTGGGTGCCCGCGCCCGCGCCCGCGCCCGCACCCGCCACCACTTGCTGCCGGGAATCACGCGCTGTCAGGCCCGCCCGCGGCAGCGCCCCCCGCCCCCGGCCCCCGGCCCCCGCCCGGCCCCCGCCCGGCCCCCGGCGCCCCGCGGAGAGGTCCCTTCCCCTGGCCTCGCAACAACAGCAACGTGGACGACGCGTGTTTCTTTATCCTTCTTCCTCCTCTCAGGCCCCCTAGCCCAGTTCATGCTTCAAACGGGCTGGTCCCACCCGGCGGTTGTCCACACTGCTGAGCTCCTACTCGGGTTAATCACTTTCAGAGGCTTTCAGACGAGAAGGGTAGAGCCCCTTCCAATATCCCACCAGGAATGAATGAATAAACCCAAACAAGAACAGGGTACCAGGACCCGTTCTGGGTCCTTTCCCTGCATCTTCTCGTTCTGCCCTGTGTCTCGATAAAGCCCATCTAAAATCCCAAACCAAGAAATCCACCCCACCCACCCCCCCATAGAAAACAGAACTGAAGAGACAATGGACCAAAAGGATAAAACCCAAAGAGGGAAGGGACAATTTCTTTTTTTTTTTTTTTTTCCATCCATCACCTTTCACCTTCCAAGCATTTTTTAACACCCTCTAAGGCTCCTGGCCTGAAATCTCCTCCTGCGTCTTCTCCTCCCCCAAATACTGTCCACTTGCTGGGACTGAGTTTGACCTCCTGCGGGGTTATAAAGTGTTTGATCCCAGTAAGAGGACTGTGAAACGGACCCACAACTGACATGCTGTTCTGCAGTTGACAAAAGGCTTTGCATCTGTTTTCTCTGTGGAGGCTCAAAACGAAAGAAGGAGGAACGACATTCATATCATTCTGATTTTACAGATGAGGAAAGGGAAGCTTTCTGTGAGATTCAAGAATGGCTAAGGTGGCATTTGCAGTAGGTCTGAATTCTTGTATGGCCCCTCCTGTTTTTATTAATATCACTGAAGTGTGATGGGGAAACCACTGAAGCCATCAACTGAATCCTGTTGGGACATTTTAGTTATTCTCTTAAACACCAAAGTTAGGTTATTGTTGTATCTTTTTAAAAATATTTCTGTGTTTGTTTCTCCTTGGGCCCCCAAGAGCCCATTCCCCTGTAGTACCCAATAGACAGAACCTCAACACATCTAAGGATCTGTGTATATCCCTATAGTGTAGGTTTTTTAAATCACTGTCTAGGCTTCCTTTCCAACTAGGGCCCAGCAGAATGGCTCCCGCAAAGAAGGGTGGCGAGAAGAAGGGCCGTTCTGCCATCAACGAGGTAGTGACCAGAGAATACACCATCAACATTCACAAATGTATCCATGGAGTGGGTTTCAAGAAGCGTGCCCCTCGGGCACTCAAAGAGATCCGGAAATTTGCCATGAAGGAGATGGGAACTCCAGATGTGCGCATTGACACCAGGCTCAACAAAGCTGTCTGGGCCAAAGGAATAAGGAATGTTCCATACCGTATCCGTGTGTGGTTGTCCAGAAAACATAACGAGGATGAAGATTCACCAAACAAGCTCTACATGCTGGTTACCTACGTACCTGTCACCACTTTCAAAAATCTACAGACTGTTAATGTGGATGAGAACTAATCGCTGATTGTCAAATAAAGATATAAAACTGAAAAAAAATAATAAATCACTGTCTAGTAACTTTTCTTTTTTTTTTTGCAAGGAAGAACAGTGTCATTCCCAGAAGAAGAGAGGGTAGTAAATTCTCTGCCCCAAAAAAGAGGAGGCCTCAGCCTCCAAGCATCAGAGTTGACCAGAAGATCTACTACTCCATCTCTCCTACCAAAGCCTAGCTCCTTCCGCAGGGCTGGGGAAAAGGCATGAACATCTCAGAAAAGCTCTTTACCAGCCAAGGGGAAAAACCTCTTCCCTTGCTTCTTTTTTTTTTTTTTAAGATTTAATCTATTTATTCATGAGAGACAGAGAGACAGACAGACAGACAGAGACACGGGCAGAGGGAGAAGCAGGCTCCATGCAGGGAGCCCGACATGGAACTCGATCCCAGGTCTCCAGGATCAGGCCCTGGGCCGAAGGCAGGCGCTAAACTGCTGAGCCACCCGGCGGCCCTCTTCCCTTGCTTCTAATTGCCAAATTCCCAAAGACTCCAGCTGGTCCAGCTTAAAGCAATGTACCCACCCACGGAGCCAGACCCCACAGTGAAACGCAAAAGAGTTCCTCCAAAGGAGGGGGGTGTTGTTCCCCAGAGGGAAGAGAGATGGGTGCCCAACCATAATTGTCCACCACATAATTGATCACGTCTTTCAAAACTTATTTTTCTTTTCACTAAATTCATACAGCACTTTGCATCACTCATAAGGAATGCTTCATGTGCTGCTACAACTTTCTATGTACATCTTCTCTCCTCCAGCTGTGTATGACCTTGGAATAATTCCTTAACCTCTCCTCACCTGGTTATCCTCACCGCAAAATAAGAATTATTATAATCCTCACCTCATCAATTGTTGGGAGGATTAAAATACCTGGTATAGTGCCTGACAAACAGAAAGGCCTTCGATAAATGTTAGATGTTCATGGTATCACCATCAATATCGTATTTATCATGATTATTGATGTCCTCTTTGGCAAGAACTATTTTATATCTTTGTAGACCACCACTCTGCATAAAGGGTCTTTGGGCATAGGTGATATTCTATACACGTTGTTGGTTGAATTCATCTGCGTTTTTTGACAATGGAAATTCAAGATATATATAGAGTGATTTCCCCTTGAACAACAACAAAAAAACAAACAAAACAAAAAAAGTTTATCAACTAAAGAAATCTCTCCAAAGCTGCCCTCAAAGTTGGTCAAGTTAGTTCCAATAAATGTGTTACAGTGATGGAGAAAGAAACCCGAGAGGGCCCCACAGAAGAAATGCCTTGTCCTTAGCTGCTCACTGGTAAAATGAGAAGGTTGGATTAGATCAGTGTTTCCCAAAGGGCTTTCCTCAGAACATGAGTGCCTCCCACATGCCACACAAAGCAAGAGCTGCATGGTCAAGCAACTTTAAAAATCCTGCACAGGCTACCTCATTCTTGGAGCTTTATGATGCGCATTTTCGTATGAAAAGCTCTGAGAGCTTTCAAACTGGTGCTTCTCAACCTAAACTCAGGTGCCAGTTTGTCGAGGGAAAGACTCAGATCAGCTTTATGACTGTAGCCTGGAGACAGCCCCCTTCCACCTTTATATGTCCCCCGTGGGCTGGGTCAGAGATAAAGACGCTCTCCTGATTTTAAGGGGCTGGTCACCCCTTGGTGCTGTGTTCACACTTCTCCGTGGTGTGGCTCACAGTGAAGGGGAGCCCCATTTGCCAGGGTGTCTTTCAGCTTTCACTGAGAATTCCTGCCCTGTAACAGGAGCACCCCATCTATCCTTCCTTTCCCTTGGGACTTCCTTGCCCTCAAAAAGGTGTCCACTAAGAGCTGCCTCAGCTAGACCTGCATTTCCCACAAAAGGAATTTGGGGTGGGGTGGGGGTCAAATGAGTATTGAAACACCTTACACTCTATCTTGTAGATTCACAAAGCACGTTAGCATATTAAAGACCATAGAGTTCCACAGGAAAGAAACCTATTTAACTTTAAATTTCCAAATTTTGCCTGACCACGGTAAAGTAAGGTCTTTTGCAAAACATCTATGAACAGATCAAGGACATGAAGAGCCCACAAAGCACTTTAGATCTCTGGGGTCCCTTCCAGCTACATCATTCTATAATTTGCATTTTTGCTTGTGAGGCATTAAAAGATTAATTTCTATCAGGCTTCTATGTATGGACTTATCAGAATATGCAAAGGGGAACAGGTAAAATTGCCCAATTAAAAAAACATACCCTTGAGCAATTTTGAGACTTAAAATGAATTAAATATACTCATAGATAATTTTATTTTATATGTCCTATTCCTCCATATGCCCCCCACACACACACACATCCACATACCACCACCCCTGCCCCTGACCCCTGCTGGCAGGAAAAACTGGCACACATCTTTGACCCCTGGTAATTATACACTCCTGTTCAGTCAGAGTACTTCTGGCACATAGGAAGTGCTAAAAACATGCCGTTGGCTCACTAACGCTAAGAGTATAAGAAATACCAAAAGTACAAGACAAGAGGCAGAAAAGCAGGTGGAAAATCTCATGAGTGGACATCTCAGAAGCACGAATACTCTTTTTCATCTGCCGCAAAAGCTTCTGGTCATGGGGAAGTCAATTATATATTTCTCCTAAAACACACCACCTTCCACTGAGCCTTCTGTCCCCCAGCAAATGAAATCACGCAGAATAATTCCAACAGAATTTAATGCTTCTCCACATCCTTCACTAGAAGGCCACTAAGTGAGTGTTCAAGTGATGGAAAGGTGAAAGGTACTTGTAGCACGTGTGTCTTGCAAATGTTTGTGCGCAGCAGATCTCTATGTACTTGTATCTCAGGCTTCAAAACTGTTTCCTACCTTCATGGATGACTGCCTGTGTGGCCTTGGACAAGTTGCTTACCCTCTTTAAAGCTCAGTTTCTGCATCTATAATATGGGCATAATGCTACCACCTACCTCCCAGAGTTGACGATCATATTCAGAGAGCAAATATGTACAAATTGCTTAGCACGACAATTTTTTCGTATTATGTAATTATTATTAAATTATTTTAAGTTATTATTATTAAATATTACTAATTATTAAAATGGTACTAACATAATTCCTATTACTATAATAATGATTCTGAATCTTCACATCAGCCAGTATTATCCTTGATGGCAGCAATTATGTCTAATTAACCTTTTCAGCACAATATCCAGCATGACATCACTTGCAAATTAGTGAACTCGTATTAAGGGTGAAAAAAAATTAATTTTTTGTCCTAAATTTTTATCTTATTTTAAGTTCAATTAATTCACATATAGTGTATCATTAGTTTCCAATGAAGAGTTCAGTTATTATTCATCAATTGCATATAACGCCTAGTGCTCATAATATCAAGTGCCCTCCTTATTGTCCATCACAATCTACCCCATAGGCTACCTACCTGCTCTCCAGCAACCCTCCATTTCCTAGAGTTAAGAGTCTATTATCCTTTGCCTCCCTCTCTGATTATGTCTTATTGTAACTCTCAAATGCTTTGTAAACAATTGTGCAAAAAGAACCATCAGCCTAATACATGAAAGCTCCAGTTCCACTGGAGTTTGTTTGTTGTTTTGTTTTTTCAAAGACTTTATTTATTTATTCATGAGAAACACAGAGAGAGGCAGAGACATAGGCAGAGGGAAAAGCAGACTCCCTGATATGGGACTTGATCCCAGGACCCCGGATCATGACCTCAGCCAAAGGCAGGCCTTCAACCACTGAGCCACTCAGGTGCCCCTGGAGTTTGCTTTTGGTGGTAGCCACGGGAAGCTTCGGAATACTGAAGTGCTATTAGGAATCCCCTGAGGCCAGCAGGAGAAGTTGCTGGAAAACTCTTGCAGGTGTGGTTTCCTGACTACTGCAGTGCTCTGGCCCCAACTCTGAGAAGCATTTAATGTTAATTGACTAACTTGTAAAAATTGTGGTTTTGGGAAAGCAAAAGGTTTCATCTTAATTCAGTTTTATGTAAAAATAATAGGCCACTGATCTGCCAAAAATGAATATTCCCTTTCCAGGAGTCCCCCACAGCATCTAGAAGCATCAATGATACACCAATAACAGAATATTGACAGGCTTATAAGCAATCTTATAAAAGTACTTTATTTCATAAAATGCAAAAGGTTGTAAAGCTATCTCTACACTTTTTTAATAGTTGAAATTTGTTTTCAAGGCTTCAAAAAGAAACACAATCTAAGTCTTTATTATAAAGGAAATGTATTTTCCATATTTCATTAAACTTACATTTGCAATCATAGCCTACATGGAATTTTTCTTGGGTGGTTTTTATGTCTTCCCCCTTCCCCCAATATATGGCCAATCTCTGAATAAATATTTAACATTTCTATGTAATGTCATTTTTTAAAGCTATTTATATCCATCTAAATCATGGAGCTAAATACCAAGTATGTCATACTAGCAAGTATTCCTGCCTTATGAGTGGATTTTTTTAGCCATGAAGGCTGGGTCAATTTGCATGACTCATAGTGAAATACTGTCTTACAATAGCCAAGATATGGAAACAATGAAATGTCCATCACTGGATGAATGGACAAAGAAGATGTGATATATCATATATATATATATATATATATATATATATATATATATATATATATCACCTATATATTGCAATACACACACACGAGAATATTATTCAGCCATAAAAATGACATCTCACCATTTGTGACAACATGGATGATCTAAACAGTATAATGCTAAGTGAAATAAGTCAGTCAGAGAAAGACAAATATATATGATTTCAACCATATGTGGAAGAAATAAAACAAAGAAAAAAGAGACAAACAAACAAAAAACAGACTCTTAAAAAGAAGGAACAAACCAGTGGTTACTAGAAGGGGGATGGTTGAGATAAAGAGGATTAAAAGTACACTGAGCAATGAACAGAATTGAAACATTAAATCCTACACCTGAAACTAATATAACACTCTATGTTAATTATACTTAAATTTAAAAAAAAATGCTAAGGCCCCAGGGTG